ACTTGATGTTAAAAGTGCGAAGTGTTATTAGGTCATCGAGGGAAATTATCATCTGCTTGGACATTCGTTTAAATGTGCTCGTGTACGGTCAATGAACTCTAAATTCATTTATGGTCCACGAGCTAGAAAAGTAAACGCGAAATGTAAATTAATTTTGTAATAATGGAGAATTAAAATCATAACAAAATACGAGTTCATTTGCAAAATTAGTATGAAAGATCTTATCTTGCTCGCACGTAGGAAATGTCCAAATGCAGTTTTCATGGAATGAAGAAAGAAGAGGCTTAATGCCGAAGAGGCCCCCACTTAATTGTGGCTGAAGAGGGCAACTACAGGCTATTGAGTTATTTTCAAAGGTTCAACAGCAAGTTTGAACCTTTAGAGAATGGCTCTTTAGTCATATTTTATATTTTATTGTTTTACTTTTTTGCTCGTCATTAATTTCTAGTTGTAATTGGAGATGATGGATCATTCCATCTCCTTGGGACACCAAATGCGTGTCTATATCGTCTAAAAGATGCATATGTGTTTAGTTAGTTCGAGTCAAAATATTTAAATTTCCTTTTTATTACATTTTGAAACCTAATTATCGTTTTTTTAATATTAAAGTAATCTCTCTTTTTTTTTGTCTTTAAGATTTTTCMCTTTGATYGCATTTGATTAAMTTTGTAATTTTTTCTTTTCTATATAATGCAGTTTAAAAGTAWTAGTTATAATAATTAATAGATATTATTTTCTCTAGTAACTTAATATTTGTACTTTTACTTTTTTATTTTTTTATTTTTTATTTTTTGTAAATGTAAAATCACGCGTTTAAATTCCATTTTATTGCAATTTTAAATAGAAATTAGATAAAAATAAATAGAGAATTCAATTTGAAAAGTGCATCTGCGAATTGGACGATTTATATATCAGGCTATTGTATCTCACTTGATTCTATAATTAATATAGTTTTCTTTTTGTTACAGGTGATCATCGTTGGATWTATCATCAAACCTTTCTACTTTTCTTCTATTTGAACACCTTTAAATGTTATTTTCAAAATATATGTATAAATGCATTTCTGAAGGCACACACATAAATACTAAATATGTGAATTATATTTATTTAATATTTTCTAATATGTAATCTAGGTAAATTAATTACAGGAAATCAAATCACATCCTCGTGTGAAGAAAATTTTTGGTAGGTTTAAAAAAGGAATATTTATAAATTTCGTTGAATCCTTTTTGTTTTTTTCATAATCTTAGACCAAAGGGATTGCGTTTGGTCGTTGAACTTATGCAATGTTTGCAAGTCACGTGTGTCTACTCATTGTCAGTGAACGTTATCATTTGTCTATGTGTGTGTGTGTGTGTGTGTGTATATATCTACTTTTCCCATAGAATGGTACTTATACTTCTGTTGAAATCGCATGATAGAAGAAAGTTTTCTGAAAGTCGGTCGGTAGAGATGAGTTTCGAAGGCTTCATCGAACAATGCAGGGTGTCTTTATTATTACATCTGCTTGAATGCTCTCCTTTGAATGAGGAAAACAGAAATCAAGTAAAGAAAGAGAGATAGAGAAAGAAAATTCTAAGGTACATTGTTAAAATACGTTCATAAATTTACGAGTTTTCAGACATATAACTTGACTTTCGCATTTTCTCAACAAGTTTCTTACTTGAGAGAGAAACAACGATATAAAATGAAACACATAGATAAAATGTTACACTTAACAGCATTAGTTTAAAAGTTGTATTTTAACAGTTTGACCTATCTGTAAATCATATGAATGGATCATTTTTTTATTCTTGAAGAAAATAAGCTAGAAATTAGGGTAATTGTAACTAATCCAAACCAATAGTTAATATATAAATTACTTTATGTCTTTTTTTAATTCATATAGCATAAAATAAATTAATAAACTTAGAAGTTATATGTATATTTTATATTTTTATAATTAATCATTTTTTATTTCATACTGTTTTTCTTTTTACTGTAATTTTGAGACAGTCATATATTAAATAAAATAATCTATTTATATTACATTAAAATAATTAAAATTAATTAATTTTTATGAAATTTTAATACTAATTGCATTGAACAAACCAAATATTTATTAATTAGATGTATCAATATTACAATTACCCTAAATGCAACCAGAGAGATAGTTTTTTTTTTTTGTATTTTACTATTGTTTTTAGAATAAATATAATAGAAACGATGTAAATGTTAGATTTAAAGGTATTAGTTTAAAAGTATTAACTTACATATCCTTTTTAACACTACACCAATGAAATTCATTATTTTGTTTGTAAGGATTAAAAGAAAGAGTAAGCAGATATCATAGATAACTTTAATGGTAAGTTTCTTTACTTGATTTCAGTGCTTTTCTTAGAAAATGTCTTTCAAAGACATTTCTTGCACCATTCCAAGGACTTTTAGAAAAGAAATGAGACGAAACGGTTTGGCAGAAAGAATCCTGCGTGTTTGCACGTTCCTCGACAAACATTTGTACCATCACAGTTGTCGTTGCTAGTAATGGCAAGAGGGTATATCCGTGTGTATACATTTCTATGTATGCGTGTATGTATTTTCCGTTTCACGTGTGACATTAAAGGGAAAATGAAAGAGTACACAAGTACGAGAACAGCAGCCAACATACGTTCGTGTATTTTATCTTTTCTACATTAGTATTGCGTATAGGGTGTACACAATTAAATAAGAAATTTTTTTCTTTGAACAAAACTACTAGATTTAATTTATATATAAATTAAAAAATATTTCTAAAAGTTTGTAAATTAATTAGAAATTTTTCGTTAGGTGTAAGAAATAGTTTCAGTATATTAAAATTATATTAAAAAATAGGGATCTCTCTAAAATGGAATCACACACCTGTTGTTTCGCAAATGTTTCCAGACAACCCATGTCATTTTAAATATACAAATATACACAAAGTAATGAATACACTTGTAGTTACACCTACGTCTTTTTAGTTGTTATATGAAACAAGATTTATAAATGGAATACCATTTAAGTATAGGTAAGGGGACGATACGAAGGGAAAATGTTAGAGAAGTTAACCAAGCTCTCTTCGGTAAGGTAATTATTCAACGTATTTGTCTTGCGGTTTGTAGAAACACGAAATCCCCTGTTTTCGAAGTTCAACTAATTCACCGTAAAATATCTTATTGAATGAGAAAAAAGTAACGTCTGTAAAGTTTGAATATTAGCAAGGTTATTTCTTATAATTAAACAAATTATTTGAATAATTCATTGTACAATGAAATAAAAGTGTGAGACAACTTTTTCGGATAACATAATTATTCGTGTTTTAAATGTGGTGCAAATGAAATCATTAAAATGTTAAGCATAATGTTTCAATAAAAAGAAATAAGTAATAATGATAAAAGCATTGCAAAAAAAACTATGTTCACAATTCAATAGTAGTAGGTAAGCGTAGGTTAAAGTTTATCGAGTGAACAAGTTCGTGATTATATCTCCAGGAAATAAAATCCAATATAGATAGATAGATAGAATCACATATGATGATCATATGGAACCACAACAGATGTATATTTGTGTTATGTATCACTCATACCAATACCGATTTTCTCTCATCGCTCATTATTCACGTGGCTTTCATAAAAGGTTCATTATTATCAATATTCAATTTCTCGTCCTCTTGTATCTCTCTCTCTATTTCTCTCTATCTCTCTCTCTCTCATTCATTTAATGTCATATTTTTCAAATATTCTACAAGTCATAAACTTAATGAAAATTTTATCGCTGATATTATTGATTCATACATCTCATATAAAGTTATATTTGTAGCATTTGACATCGATTACATTCATCTATAATTTCTATATTTTTAATCATTTTCTGCATATTTTTTAAAAATTAAAACACAGTTCATTACATACTTAAAAATATTCTCAAGTAACAAGTAACTTAATTATCTTCATAGATTAGAACTAATTTAGTATTTTGATTACCACCTTTCTGAACATGTTCCATAACTTTTACCTACCTTCTTTCTTTTTTTTCTTTTTTTCGTTTAATAAAGACAAAAAGAAATGATGAGAGAGTAGAAAGAAAAGGGAAAGAGAAAGAAAAAACAGTGGAAATAAGTGTAAGAAAAAAGAAATGGAACTGAAGTAGTGAGACGACTAAAGTGAGAGTCGAGGTAAATTGCGACGGCCCTTTTTTTTCTTTCTATTTTTTATTTTTTTTTTTTTTTTAAGTTAACTTTGGGACGTCTTATGTATATACATATATAATCTTGCATACCCAAATGCACTGTAACNCTCATTGCCTACGCGCTCGATTGCAATGATTTTCTGAAACAAAAAAAGAAAAAGAACAATTAATATCATTGTCGTAATAAAAATCCATTGAAATAATCATAGAAATGTTTGATAGAAAAATATACTTACTTTTAATCTTCTCTGATGACTGCAGGATGGGTATCCTACCCTTAGGATGACGATGTATAAAATAAAATTAAATAAAAAATCTGAAAAGCTGAAACATACTAAAGACTATACAACAAAATTTCCTGTGAATCATTTCTGAAGGCAGGGCACATATTAAAAAACATTTTATCAAAAATATTCAATGGTTAATATAAAGAAATAATTTAATAATCTATGAGAATTGACTTAATTAAAAGTAAAAGTTATAAAATATTTAGGAAATGTACCAAAATATGCAACAATTTCTTTGATAGTATTTGCTTTGCATTTTAATATGCAAATTCAAGTAATATCAATTGCTTTAACCTCACTTCTTATATAAAATTACACATACAAGGTATGTATTGTTAGTAAAAATATTAATTAAAAATCTTTAAAGTTATCTAATTAAAATAATAATTATAAAAACAAACTCAATAAAGAGTTACCTTAAAAGTAAAACGTTTTTAATACAATTCTATGCAATGAAGAACTATTTAAAGTATTAAAACTAATACGATAACGTTAGAAACAAAATAGTTCAAATGTTTAATACGTTACTTTTGTTGTTGTCGTTAGCTCGTTGAAGAACGGAAGGGGAATAGAAATCTCTCTCTGTCTATTCTTCTTGAAGTGTCGAATGTATTGCTGGATGTTTTTATTTTGCTTTCGGCTCGAGAATTTCCTAGAAATAAACAATTGCCTTTAGTTCGAATGTTTCGTCTTCTTATTCTGTCTTTCTCTCTCTGTCTCTCACTCTTTCTCTCACAGTCTCACTCTGTCTTTCTCTATCTTTATCTCTTTATCTCTCTCTCTCCCTCACACTCACATACACTCTTTCTATCACACTTTTCACTGTTTTAAAAGAAAAGAGATAGACGTACCTCGCAAATATAAAGAAGAAAAAACAATTGACAGTATAAGGTTAGGTATATATACTCGTGCTGGACTTTTCCAATGCAGGGAAATTCGAATAATCTAAAAAATAAGAATGCATTAATATGATATCAAGAAAATCAAATATATATGTATATGGTTACCTGTACTATATGCAGACACTATTTCTATTAAGACATAACGATGAAAAATAATTCATTATAGAATCATTAGAGATTGTAGTAATTATCGATGTCGTGAGAATAACCTAAAAGATTAAAAAAGTATTGTTAAGTAACGAAATCGAATGGACGTGACGCGAGCTGGGGAGACGCCGATTTTATTTTTACAGATATCTTTCAAACTTTTGAATTTATTTGTTTGAAAACACTCACGTATAAAAAGTTAGCTTGTAGCTTTCGTTTAATATATAATGGAAGTCTGTACGATAAAATAATATCTTTTAATTACCTGAAATTAACGGGACGACACAGGTTCCGTGCGATCTCCATGATAGTTGGAGGGAAAAGAACGCTTGATTTGAATCTCATTGGCTAATCATTTTTGGTCATACGTTTTGAAATTGAATTGACCAATTAAAACATTTTTTTTATTTTACGCAAATAAGCTTGCCGTGATTGGTTCAAATTTTCTCGTTTGCAAATTCAAATTGTAACTAACGTTTAATACACACAAATGTACACGTCTCTTTAAAATATTCTAAAAATAATAAACAGAATAAAAAAAAAATAAAAGAATAAAGAAATAAACAATATGAAAACTTTTTCGTATCACACAAAAAAACACTAACGTACAGAAAATAATCGTCCATCGTCCATTCAAATAGATATGCTTAAAACAATAGAAATCTTTTTCAGGCATGCCACCCTAAACTATAGTTTAAACATACCATACCTTTTAACATACATTAAATAGAAAATCATTTTTATATGTTATTAATTTATGTTTTTTTTAGATATCCGTCTCTACTAACTTGGTTTCATAAACATAAAATGTTCCGATTACTATAAAATAAATAATTAAAATAATGAATAATAAATTAATATATTTTATTAATAAATAATAAAATTATATGAATAGTTAATAAATTTTGGTAGGTAATTCAGCTTTCTTGATAACTACAATAGTTAAATTTTATAAGATAATTTATTTATTAAATAAATCAAAAATTGAAATTGGCGCGTCGGTAATTAATCGATAATGCAGATCATTCACGCGAGATTCTTATTTATCGATATAGTTTATGATGGCATGCCTGCAAAAGATTTCAATTGTTTGCATATCTATATGGAAAAACGATTCTTTTCTGTACAGGAGTGTACTTCTGCTCTATGCGAAAAAGTTTTCATAGAATCAATATTTTCTCTATTCTATTCATTATTTTTCAATTATTTAAAAGAGACGTGGACATTTATTTAGAAAAAAAGAATTAATTTTTTATTTATTTAATAAATAATCATCTTGAGTAATAACAATTATAATTTGATTATGAATTTGAATTTGCAAACGAGAAAATTTCAACCAATTACAGTAAGCTTATTTGCGTGAAATAAAAAAAATGTTTTAATTGGTCAATTCAATTTCAAAACGTATAACCAAAAATGATTAGCCAATGAGATGCAAATTAAGCTTTCTTTTCCCTCCAACTATCATGGAGATCGCACGGAACCTGTGTCGTCCCGTTAAATTCAGGTAATTAAAAGATATTATTTTATTGTACAGCCTTCTATTATATATTAAACGATAGCTACAAGCTAACTTTTTATACGTGAGTGTTTTCAAACAAATAAATTCAAAAGTTTGAAAGATATNATTAGAGATTGTAGTAATTATCGATGTCGTGAGAATAACCTAAAAGATTAAAAAAGTATTGTTAAGTAACGAAATCGAATGGACGTGACGCGAGCTGGGGAGACGCCGATTTTATTTTTACAGATATCTTTCAAACTTTTGAATTTATTTGTTTGAAAACACTCACGTATAAAAAGTTAGCTTGTAGCTTTCGTTTAATATATAATGGAAGTCTGTACGATAAAATAATATCTTTTAATTACCTGAAATTAACGGGACGACACAGGTTCCGTGCGATCTCCATGATAGTTGGAGGGAAAAGAACGCTTGATTTGAATCTCATTGGCTAATCATTTTTGGTCATACGTTTTGAAATTGAATTGACCAATTAAAACATTTTTTTTATTTTACGCAAATAAGCTTGCCGTGATTGGTTCAAATTTTCTCGTTTGCAAATTCAAATTGTAACTAACGTTTAATACACACAAATGTACACGTCTCTTTAAAATATTCTAAAAATAATAAACAGAATAAAAAAAAAATAAAAGAATAAAGAAATAAACAATATGAAAACTTTTTCGTATCACACAAAAAAACACTAACGTACAGAAAATAATCGTCCATCGTCCATTCAAATAGATATGCTTAAAACAATAGAAATCTTTTTCAGGCATGCCACCCTAAACTATAGTTTAAACATACCATACCTTTTAACATACATTAAATAGAAAATCATTTTTATATGTTATTAATTTATGTTTTTTTTAGATATCCGTCTCTACTAACTTGGTTTCATAAACATAAAATGTTCCGATTACTATAAAATAAATAATTAAAATAATGAATAATAAATTAATATATTTTATTAATAAATAATAAAATTATATGAATAGTTAATAAATTTTGGTAGGTAATTCAGCTTTCTTGATAACTACAATAGTTAAATTTTATAAGATAATTTATTTATTAAATAAATCAAAAATTGAAATTGGCGCGTCGGTAATTAATCGATAATGCAGATCATTCACGCGAGATTCTTATTTATCGATATAGTTTATGATGGCATGCCTGCAAAAGATTTCAATTGTTTGCATATCTATATGGAAAAACGATTCTTTTCTGTACAGGAGTGTACTTCTGCTCTATGCGAAAAAGTTTTCATAGAATCAATATTTTCTCTATTCTATTCATTATTTTTCAATTATTTAAAAGAGACGTGGACATTTATTTAGAAAAAAAGAATTAATTTTTTATTTATTTAATAAATAATCATCTTGAGTAATAACAATTATAATTTGATTATGAATTTGAATTTGCAAACGAGAAAATTTCAACCAATTACAGTAAGCTTATTTGCGTGAAATAAAAAAAATGTTTTAATTGGTCAATTCAATTTCAAAACGTATAACCAAAAATGATTAGCCAATGAGATGCAAATTAAGCTTTCTTTTCCCTCCAACTATCATGGAGATCGCACGGAACCTGTGTCGTCCCGTTAAATTCAGGTAATTAAAAGATATTATTTTATTGTACAGCCTTCTATTATATATTAAACGATAGCTACAAGCTAACTTTTTATACGTGAGTGTTTTCAAACAAATAAATTCAAAAGTTTGAAAGATATCTGTGAAAATAAAATCGGCGTCTCCCCGGCTCGCGTCACATCCATTCGATTTCACTACTTAACAATATTTTTTTATTCTTTTAGGTTATTTTCACGTTATCGATACTTACTACAATCCCTAATAATGCAGTAATTAATTATTTGTCATAATTTTATCTTCAATTATTGTATTTTCTATTAAATTCAATTTTTATCACACATACACAGATGTAGGCATATACATATATATATAATAGGTTCGTACACATACACTTATATATTTGATATTTTATATATTGTACTAATGTAATTTTATTTTTTACTTTTTTTAGGTATCCGAGCATTAGAAGAGTACAACAAGAAAATACATATACTAAAACTAAAAATCGTACTGGCTTTTTTATCTTCATATTTATCGCGAGGTAGGAACATCTATTTTTTTATAACGTACAGAAGTGTAATAGAAAGAATGTGAAAAAAAAAAAAGTGAAAATGTAAAGTGAAGAGAAGAAGCAGAAAAAGAAAGAAAGAGACAGGGAGAGAGTGAGAGAGAGAAAGAAACAGAAGGAAAAAGACAGTAAAAAAACAAAACACTCGATCTATAGGCGATTATAAATGTGTATGTTATTTCCAGATATTTCTCGAGTCTACGACAAAACGTAAACAGCCGATAACATAGGTATAATAGCCGAGCGTTCGACACTCCGAAAATCCCCTCTACCAAGGTTATGTAGTAACATACCTCGTATTCGTCTTCTATTCTTCAACGAGACAACATAAACGAAAATGAGACGTATTAAATTATTTAATAATTTTATTTCTAACTTTATCGTTTTGATTTTAATAGTTTAAAAAATTTTTCATTGCATAGAATGATATAAAAACGGGTTTATTTTTAATGTTACTCTCATTATTAAGTTTGCTGATACAATTACTATTTTATTTAAACAATTTTAGAGAGTTTTAATGAATATTTTTATTAACATTACATACTTGATATGTAATTTAGCAAGCAAATAGTTGCATACTTTGATCAATTTCACAAATATTTAATAACTTTAACTTTTTATTATGTCAATTCTCATAGATTATTAAATTATTTCTTTACATTTAGCATTGAATATTTTTTATAAAATATTCAATGGTTTTAATGTGTGCTCTGCCTTCAGAAATGATTCACAGGAAATATTGTAATATAGTCTTTAGTATGTTTCAGCTTTTCAGACTTTTTATTTAATTTTATTTTATACATCGTCATCCTAAGGGTAGGATACCCATCCTGCAGTCATCAGAGAAGATTAAAAGTAAGTATATTTTTCTA